CTGCGGCCTCCCCCCAGGGCCGGCCCGCCAGCCGCAGCCAACGGCAGAGGTGTTGGGGATGCCCCTGTCACCCACTGGGGAGACAATGCATGTGTGGAAGGGATTTGGAGCTGCCGGTCCTCCCCAGGCCGGTGCATGGGTGTCTGTCTGTCCATCTGCAGGAGTTCCCCCTGCTTCCATCTCTGGAGAGCCCCGAGGCGCGGCTCCCCGTGGAGTTTGACGTGGCCGGCGTGGTCAAGCCCATCACTGAGATCCTCACTGACATCTCCAGGCTCTTGCTGGAGGACCTGCCTGGCTCGGTGGCCCCCAAAGCCCCTGACCCTGTTGGCCAAGGTAAGTCCTCTGCTCGCAGGGCCACCCTGAAGGGCTCCAAGTCACCTTGAACCACAGCCTGGCCCGTGTCACCGTGCCGGGGACGCAGCTGCCGGGCACAGGGTTTTGGGATGGGGACACGCATCTTCTGTTCAGCAGATGGGTATCAGTGGGGTGGGATGAGCTGGGTGGCTTCCCTGTGGTCCCTTCTTGCTGGCAATGCTGAGCCACAGTGGCACATGCCCACTCCCAGCCTTGCACAGAATGGAGTTCCTCCTCCTCCTCCCATCGAAGCTGGGAAGGGACAAGTTTTTGGGTGGCATCACTCAGAGTACCTGTCCCCATCCTCCACAGGCCCGGTGCAGCCCGAGGGGCTGGCGGTGAAGGTGGTGGCCCCTCTCCCCGAGTGCCAGCTCCGAGCTGAGCTTCTGAAGGGTGAGGAGCATGGAGGGGGGGGGGTCGGGGAGGGACAGCACCCCGCTGGGGTCCCCAGCAGGCAGAGGTTTCATCAAGGCGAGCTCTTCCCTGGGAGGAGGGTGGTGTAGCTGGGTGACGGGGTCTCCTTCCCTGGCTCTCCCAATCCCTCTCCCTAAATGTGGAGAATGGTGTTGCGAGGCCGGGGTGGATGGGCCGGGGGACGCTGCACAGCCAGGAAAAGTCTCATTAAAGGGATTGGTGGCACCAGGGAACGCTTTCATGTGGAAACTGTGGCTGCCAGTGCCTGGCATTGGGTTGGGGGCTGCCCCCGATCT